AGGTCTATAGTTAGGGTATCAATTAATACTTTAAAAACCTGAATACAGCATGTACACCATATTTATTGATACATTTACAAAAGTTTTTGTTAGCTCTCCAAGGAACATTTACATTTTAAAACCATATTTGGCAATAATCATCATATAAAGTTTTGTACAAGTGACATCTTAAACAGCCAAGACTTGCTAATGTGAGGTCTTGTCCAGTGAAGTTCCTTTCAGTGTGAAATCTGACACAGTCTAATAATGTATAATCTGGCCAGTCCTGTTATTGTGAAAATCACTTTATGAGCATTTTTACAGTAGGCTTGAATTTTACTATGATTGGTTGGTGGCTGGTTTTTCATCCGTCGTAAATCAATACATGTTGACACAAGGGTACATTTCTAGATTAGATCCACAACACATTAAAGAGTGTGTTTGCTCTCTCATTCCCCGCCATTCCAAATAAGTTGGTGAAAAATGTAACTTTAGTATTTTACAGGACATGGTAAAGCTGTTTCATCTAGGTGATGTCTATATTATAAAAATAAAATAAAATAATATAAATATGTAACATGAACCCAGTGCCCTTTGTTAAATAAAATATATGATAAAAAGCAGACTTTCTAAGATGACTGGTTTTGAAATACACTGATATAATTTAATTATTAAACACTTGAAACAATCTCAATATTAAGCTGCGATAACCAAATTTCTGCATCTATGCCAGATAAAGAAGTGCATAACATTCTGTAATGGAATTACATTGATGAAGGTGAAGGTTACAATTTTACAATGAATTGCCTATTTAGGAATGCATTAAGGAAATCTGAAGTATTCTCTCATAGTGTAGTTCATTTTGCCTTAAAATTATTATAACTGAATTTAATTAAACCCAGCAGTTTGGACAGTAATGTTTCAAAACTGCTCTTATTGCTATAAACAGATAGTTACAGACACAAAATTGATGGGGTGTCAAGGAATCCATTCTGACATCATTAAAAAAGTCCTTTGAAATTGTATCTTACAGTGGAATTACTGTGTAAACTATTTCACGTGAAGAAGTATTTCTAAAAATTCCACTGGTTATGGAGCCACACCTGTGATGGGTATATGTATGTGGACATTCATACATCGGTGCAGATGTACAAACATACGTACACACATGCAAAGAATTAATCTGTACATTTCTGGAAATTATAGTTAATGAAAGTAAAGTGAATCACTGGTGTTTGTAGCAGGATGACAGTCTTTTGAAAATGACAGGATTAGAAAGAAATGCCCGTTGAAAATGTAGTATCCAAATAGTCCCAGAAACTATACAATGTAGCTGGTTAGGTCCAGCAAATAGGATGTCATGTCTATGATCTGATCAAGAATACCTGCCCTTGTCACTCTTCCGATGTTTCTATCCACTTGTTCACACTGGGGGCCAAGATATCCTTTTTTACACAAGCACTTATTGGGTCTTACGCAGACACCTCCATGTCGACACGCTGGGTCACACTTTGCTGTGGGTGGAAACA